CTAGTCTTTATTTTCAGGACTTCACGCTATAGCCTATGACTATGACTATGTCTGCCATGCCAGAATCCAGAAGTAACCAGTGCTCCCCCTGGCCCATGCGGGTTCTTCGCAGGGATCGTTAAGTGTTTAGCCTTGTTCAGCCCTTCTAACTTCTGAACTTTCGAGACTGTTTACAGACTTGTAGACTACTCTTCTGGGCGGCTATAGGCCATAGGGTATAGGGTTTGTTTAGGGCTATACGGCTATGCTATGCTATGCTATGCTCTTTGTGGTTGTCTGTTGCTTAAACTTGAAGCTTGGGTTTGAGAATATCGTTCATGACTCGCGGACAATTTTCCTTATATACTCCCAGCAATACAATTAATATCGCCAACGCTTGATTTGACAGTAGGCTTCCAGTCTACTCCGCGCTGAAGAAATGTAGGATGTCTGGAATACGTTTGGACCTTAAACTTAAATTTAAATCACACCCTAGAGGTCACAGGCCATACTATACTGTGCTGTCCGCACAAGCCCTCTACTGCATGGCCACGCAAAGCGAAGCAAACCGTAGTCCAGCAAACCGTAACCTACGAATTCAACTCTCAACGCAAGATTCCCACTATCCCTGCTGTGGCTGCTAGCGCAAAGCAGGGCAATTCACCCAAACTCATGGTCAAAATGGAACGCAGCCTCGCAGCTGCGCCTTTCCGTCATCCAACACACGCTGGTAGATTGTGTGCTCATGTTCGTGCACTTCCTGGATCCAAACGTCCCGCGGGCCAGTAAGCACCTTGGTAGGAAGGATTAGGGATTGCAGGGATCACTCGCGTGTAAGTAAGCTGTAAGCTCATCTTGCTGAACTCCGGGCTCTGTAGGCTATTGGGACTTAGGCTAATGGCCAGTAGTATGCAAACTGTAAACTGTAAAGTTCATTCCGGGAAGCTTGTGCGCATTCTGCTCCTTGCCATCCGGAGTGACCATGGACTCCACGCTGAGACCGTCCTCCAGCGGGTCCTTTCCTGCGAACTTTTTGTAGCTCGCTGCTGTGAAGACCAAGATCTTGGCAGCAGCAGTTGTCAACATGAACATGCTTCTCGTGAATCACCTTCCTTAGTTCTGCCACTGACCAAGACTGGGGGAACGGGAAGCGGGAAGCTGCTTGAAAGTTGCCAGAAGCCACGGGGCGCACTTCCGGTACTAGTCTAGTAGTGGGAACCAGCAGAAACAGCATAGCGCAAACGTGAAGACACGGGGACACAGTGATACATGCCTCCTCTCATGGCATGGTTAGGAAAAGCAGGAATCAAGGCTAGCAAGTATAAAAATCCACTCAGCATTCAGGCGGCTGGTAAGGCTCCGCTCGCCACCAGTCTGGCAAAACCAGCATCTTGGTGTTCAACAAGTGGGTCAGCTGCGAACGAAGAGCTGTGAAAGCAGCCCGGAGTGCTGGGCTTTGCTCCATCCTCGCCACAAGATCCTGGCAGATGCAGCAACTTCTAAGACTGCCAGTTCGATGTCAGACCTACTAGAAGACACAGACCGTGTTCGTCGAGCACAACGAAAAGTACATACAACAGAAGTTGCAACAAGCCAGGATCGACGATCGCTACATGCTGATGCTCGACGAGATTGTGCAGGAAGTCAAGATGGGTAGGGTGAATGGCCCCGTCACACAACCATCACATTGGAGACACCACACGGTCGCCCCCAGCAAATACCCGAGCTTCGCCTCACACCACTTCTAGCGCTGGCATTCAGCATACAACAGGTCGGCTCAGATGGCAAAGAGAAAATTCGAGGCGAGGACTGGCACCTCATGCACGACCAACCGTATCATCACACCCCAGACCATTTCGCATCATTAGCCATCCATACACACAGGCAAGACCCAGCACAAACACTACAGATTTGGGGACACGATCATGATGGGGCTTACAGACAGCTTCCACTCGACCAGCCACAACAAGCGTACGTCCTGCTAAACACACCAGAAGGACCCACATTGTGGAGCCACAACGTACTCCCGTTCGGATCTTCAGCTAGCGTGTGGGGGTACAACAGATTTGGCGATGCCATGGTCTCAGTTTCGCGAGTCATCCTCCTTTGCCCCACTATGCACTACGTCGACGACTACGGCAGCACGGAGATCCAGAACAACGCAGACTCCGGCTTCCAGGCGTTCGAGGACTTCAACGCGGCGCTAGGATACAACACGAAGACGAGCAAACGACAACCACCTGCATCATCCCACAAGATACAAGGGGTCATCATTAGCACAGAACCACAACACATCACCTTGACACCTTGCCCACAGAGAGTGCCAGGAGATACAGACCTGTATACAAGAGAACAGGCTTGACCCAGATCAGGCTCGCCGCATGGCTGGCAAATGCAACTTCCTGGCCGGCCGACTTTTCGGCAAAGTCGGCCGGGCCCCACTCAAAGCTATATACTCCAGAGCACACAGCAACATGTCACAACTCGACAAACCCACCAGGTCAGCCCTTCACGCACTCCTGCACATCATACAACACTGCAAGCCCATGAGATTACCACTACAGATCCAACACAGACACTTTGCCATCATCTACGCCGACGCCTCTTACCTGGCTGGGGACCTCAAACTCCGACCCGGAGACGGCACCCCAGAAGGATGGAAACCGCATGATTTTGCGCAAGTTGAGAACAGTTGGGGCGCAGTGATCTTTCCACCAGGTGAGTCGGATCGAGCGTGGTGTTTCCAAGGAAGACTATCACAAGAAATCCTCAAGCAATTCAGCTCCAACACAGCTTCATCTACCTCCTGGAAGCCTGGATCGCCATCATCGCACCGTTGGTCTGCGAACCCATCTTGGGCAACTTCTACGTCCAGTGCTGCGACAACGAAGCAGCCCGTCATGCTCTTATTAAGGGAGTAGGAAACATCAACCCCTAAATTGTTTAATCAGCGCCCACTGGACGTGGCACAACAGGAGGGGCATCGCTCACCGTATTGAGCGCGTTCCGACAAAAGCTAATTTGTCGGATCCAATCAGTAGATTTGAAGAACTTCCACACGGACGGTTATGGTCCCACATGCAATTGCCCCAGGAGGCCATCACCGAACGGTGCCTCAAAGTTATTGGTGACATCCAGGTTGCCTCTTGTCTAGGCTTCGAGAACATCCCTGGATTGGACTGCGTCCACTCGTGTTTTAATGTGTAGGCTCCTCTGGTGTCCTAAACTACGACGGGAAATCGTACACCAGCGACGGGAATGTACAATTTCAGATCCGTCTCCGAAATACGAGATGATGTAATCAACATTTGGACACCAAAAAGTTGCACCTTGGCGCAACACACATTTTGACGGGGAATCCAGCCACTGAAGTTGACATGGTTGGAGAAAGTGCGCTGCCCCGTCTCGGTACACCTTGTGATAACTACGGGCTAGTTATTACTTAGTTTGTGCGTTTTGAATTGTCAATAGAAACTCACGTCTTCTCCAAAGCTCGTAAGTCCCCTACAACATTAGCCCTTTACTTGAGACGTCTTAGGAATTTTGCGAATGTTATGCTGACAGAGACAGGAACCCAAAAACCGAAGGAGAAACAGGGGCGGGGAACAGCTCTAGCTGGGCCACCCAAAGACAACCTGCTGTTGCGGATCTTTTTCTTCTGGCGCTTACCAGTGGAAACCGCACTCCCTCGCGCGTGTAAAAGTTGAAAAGCAGTGAATGGCCTCCACAATCCTGCAGCCCTCAAAGCAGGTGCATCTTTATTGTCAGGAGAAAACTGCGCAGACGCTCCGGAACTGAAAATGTCAAAGCTATCAATCATGCATTTGTATTTGATTGAAATTTCGGTATGGCATAGAGTTTCGTGAAGATCTTCACAGTAATACAAAAGAGTTGGAGGAGAACAAACAGCACATGAGCCAATGGCGATATGGCCCATCCATATGTGTGTAGCAGATCTACGAAAAAACTGTGTGATAAAATGCCGTCAAGCACACTTACCACGACTACCCTGTGAATAAAAGACGATGAAGTTGGGGCCCGTATGGGGAGTACCTGCAATACAATCTACAGTGACAAGAAGAAAGCTCCTCCACCTCAGGCGGTGTGAGTTGCGTGGCAGTGGAGACCTCAACCACTGAGTTTTGCAGGAACATTTCAATGGGACTCTGTTTTAATTGTGGGGGCCTCAAGGGAAAGCGCAATGTCAGCGGCAAGTGGCCGGATTCAAGATGTGGGCTTCTCTAAAATGATAGGCCTAGAATAGGGCTGCATTGAAGCTTTCTGTATGAAACGATGCAAGCTGCGCAATTCGTCCATGAATCTATGAGAGCTAATCGTGGAGTGCAGATGCTCTCCTGTACCTGTAACATTGCATTGTCAATGCTTATAAGCGAGCATGAAAACGCTACTGGAGCAGTCAGCAGAAAATTCGGGGCTTGAGTTTTCATGCCTTCAACCTGTAGAAAACATTAAACTAACAAACGCTGCTTACACCAAAAAACGCATGCCTGGATTCGGAAGCGCTCTGTCTATAAATGTGGTGCCGCACGCCCCCTGACACCCTTGCTACTCAAAAGAGTGGCCTCATTTCACACTATTTCCACGCGACGACGTATAACTTGAATTTTCCGTGTGGGCGTCATTTGAGTTTCATGGCGCAGCCGATGAATCTTTTTTACCTGCCGCGATGTTCCTCGTTGGCTTGCAGGTGACGGTGTCCGGATATTTTTGGATTTCTGGGGCAAGGGCCCTGTCAAATGCTGCAATTCTCCCTAGCTTTGCCTCTCAAGACCAGTCTTTTACTTTGGGTTTCCAGATCCCAGAAGCCTGTCAACACCTGCAATTCGCCTTAGCTTCGCCCGAAAATACGAGCAAGCAGCTAGCAGCTAGTGACTTTGTTTCTGCCTTTTAGTGTTTGTTGACTCTAAGTTATGTTTTTGGGTCCCTTAGTTGTTGGATAGCCCATCCTTTTTCCCTGCAGGCAGTAGATTATGCAGAGGTGGCACACACGCTTGGCGCAGGAGTGTCTGCTGTGGGTGAACTTCCAAGACCCTCTGTTCTTCAACTGATGACCAGAAGACTGCAAGGAGTCGTTGGATTTCAAATTGTTTTCTTTCTAAGCTCGCTGCTCGAGCTCAAGAATTCTTAGGGCCCGATATTGTTATAGCGGGCCTCAGCACATTAGCTTAGCTGCAGAGCGCAGCGCTGGAGACTGGACATTCCACTTGTCTTGCAAGGCAAGGAGAGTTTTTGCAAGTTACCAAAGAAAGGTCAATCACTTGGTCCAGACTCCTGATGTTTCACTTTTCAAGGCTCCTCTCTGAATCACCTCGAACCAAAGCAAATCAGAAGACCTCGAAGTTCCAAGAAGGTCAAGGTGACCAAGGTGACCATGTACTGGAGCGGATCCAATAGATTCGACTCTGCAACAGAGTCGCGTCTGAGGTTTCTTTTTTTGTCAAGAGATTCGGGGTCTGAAGACCATCCGAAGCTCAGAGTTCAGATTGGCCTGGACCGAATAGTTCAAATTGGTTTTATGCCGGACTGCAGTGTACAGCGCTTTTTCCATAGCCGGGCTGTGAGGCAGGGCTTAAGTCCAACTCTTTGTGAGCTAACAGCCTGTAGACAGCCTTAGACCGTGCAGCCATCATGCTGCGCGGGTGAAAAGAGCAGCACCGAGGAACTAAGACTGCTCTCATTCGCCCCAGTCACTGCCAGTCACCCCAGTCCCTGCAACTTTCTGGGTCCGCTCGATTGCTCACAAGCGCTGGAGACATTCTCGAGCTACAATCGAACACCAAAGCAGCCCATCTCATCAGATCCTTCAACCATAAGTTACAAGTTCCACAAGCCATGGATGCCTCCCTGCTGGAGCAGCTGGTTTGGGGACAGGCGAGAGCGTTCGCGCGTCGAGCAGAGACAGTAGAGATCCATTGCCAAGTCTGAGCAGAGGCTGCCACGCCCATCTCCGATAGGCAGATTCGGGTTCTGTTGCAGTTCTGTCGCCGACAATTCTGTCAAACTCGAAGGAACGCAAGGCACGAGTTTTTGGCTCGCAGCCCAGCCGCCCAGCCCTCCTGAACTTGTGGCTTGTGAGGGTCAGAGCCAAAGAGCCAAGGCCACGACAGGTGCAGAAGGAGCAGAAGCGGTCTTCGTGCCTGGGACCCTGTGACTCTGGGAGCTGCGACTGAGTAAAGTGAGTGAGCTGCTTGTTCTTTCCATTTGTTCGGCGTTCTTAGGCTTACCTCGCAGACAGCCAAGGCCAAGGCGCGAAACCATTCGTGAAAAGGGGGTTTGAACGAGAGGAAAGCCCCTGGAGGAGAACGCCTCGGAGATTTGCGTGGATCTCGTGAGAGGAACGAGAGGAAGTACCCTAAAGATTGTCGTGGAGGTTCCTGCAGTGAATGTAGGCAAGGAACCCTTTCAGAAGCTCCTGGTGGCATCCGGGGGTCGGGGTCTGCTCTTCTTTTCCTCCAGCTGCTGCGCTGTTGTGGCACTGCCTTCAATGGAAGACGCAGAGGCAATGCAATGCTTGTAAACACGAACATTCAAAAGGTGTGTTACGTTTTTGTTTTCTTTTGCGTGAGTGCTGCAGTGCTGCGCGTTGGAAATCAGGCAACCTGGGAGCTGTGTGCCGTGACGCTATTTCCAACGGTTCCTGAGACGAGCTTCGTGAAGGCCTCCTGGCACCCTCTGAGCGATGCGCACCTTGGAATTCTCTCCAGTGATGGTACATGGTGCCTAGTGAATTTGACATGCGGCGCTTCCGTGAGCGATCCGGAGCTCTACTTCAAGGCTTTCGAATCGAAACAAGAGGAAGCGGTGGACTTTGTTTTCAGCTTTGGTTGCTTGGGTAAGAACCCGTCACCTGAGGAGGCGTGGTTGCAGCTGTCAGTTTTCTTCCTGAGCTCATTTGGACGAGTTTCCCTGCGAAGCCCTGTCCTTCCGTCTGTGGCAGCGATGCCTCAAGCAATGTTACACGCGCTCGCTGCTGACCCCAACGAGTGGCTTCAAGAATCGCTTCTAGCTGGACAGGCATTTGACATCTTGGACAGCTCAGTTTGCGTTGCTCGTCACCGTCTACACTTGCACGGCAAAGGTCCGTACGTCCCGGCTGAACAGATGCTAGAGGAAGCTCGTGAGGGCCCCCAGTCACCACAGTCTGCGCGCCATGCGCAGAGTCCGTTCTGCAGCATGCAACTGTTGACCCAGTCACCACTGGTACTTCTTGTCCGTGCGACAACATCCGGACTGATCCAGCTTGTGGCCTTGGAAGCTGCGCCGGGCCCAGCTTTCCTTAAAAAAGGAGTTGCAGCCTCAGTGCTGGAGGAAATTGACTTGATGTGTTCCACCACCTCGCTCGGCATGATGTGCCTATCAAAGGATCCCTTTCCCTCATTTCTTGCCCACTCCAACTCTTTGGTTGCAGTCGTGGATGTGAACTGGGCCAGGCAGGATACTGGAACTTTGCTTCCATCGACAATCACGACTCTAGCAGAGATCCGCTCGCAAGATGCCACTGAGTTTGCAGGTCTCCAGCCATTAGCGGGCCGTGCCTTATTGCTGAGAGTGGAGCAGACACCGAGATCGTCCATGAAGCTGCAGCTGCTCGAGTATGTGCGTCAAGGTCGTAGTGCAGAACGCGAACGCAGGGAGAGACCCAGCAGTTCCCTCAAGCGCCTGCTCTTGGCGCCCCTCCCTCAGGAGGCCCGGGAGGTGTCCCGAGAGACCCAACATCTCGCACGAGCTACTTCACAGCTGCGAGCACAGCTGGCAAACATCCTCCCACGCAAGGACCTGTTGCAGCACCTGGCTGATGCTCTGCCCAGCCGCTTTGAGGCGGTTTCCGACAGTGAGTCCCTGGGTCGCCGTGCGCAGGAGGCCGCTGGCCGCTGCGAGGCGGTGCGCCTACGGCAGGAGGCGCTGCGGCAGCGTCAGGAGCGCCTCGCAGCGGCGCTGCAGGCGGAGTTGGAGCTGATGGCCCTGAATGCCTCCAACCATGCTTTGGTGCGGCTCTTTGCCCGCTTCTACGAGCTGCGCCGTGCCGCCAACCTCTTGAAGTCTGGACTTCAAAAGAACGTTTCCAAGGAGAGCTCTGGCACAGCGTGCGTCCGGGCTAACGCCACTCGGAGCTGCTGGGCATCCACAGCGGATCACCTGCGGCTCCAGGCAGCAGAGGCGGAGGCAACCGTGGACCTTGCAGCTGCCCGGTGGCCTTAGGAGCCAAGTGCCGCAGCGGTCCCTCGCAGTATGCAAAAAGGCTCTTGGACTTGTTCAGCTTCACAGCTGCCTTCAGACTTCAGACTGCCATGTAGCTGGAACACTCGCTGCAATCCACACGGATAGCCTTGCTTACAAGCTTTGGAGGCCCGAGCATTGTCTGGTGGTGAGAACCCCTTCAAGCACACGTCCACACACTTCCACACACTTCCACGAAGCAATACGAAGCACACAAAGCACAGCAAAATCAGCAGATGGCAGTGATTGCATAAGTATTAGAGAGGATTAGAAAAATGACGTATGAAGCCAAGCGGCTGACGGCTGATCCCTTCTGTGTATCCTGAAGCTCATGGCATGCGCACATGCGCACTGTCGCTGTCGGTAATGCTGCAGCTGCTGTAGCTGCCGCAAACGCTGATGATTTCTGTAGCAGGATGGCTATCTCATTTGCAAGCATTTCAGGTGACAGACGTTGCGGAAGGGGAGGGAGAGAGAGAGAGAGAGAGAGCAATTGGCGGTGGGCGCGGCTCACCCCCACGATGCGTTGCTGAAAGGGGCAAACACGCTCCAGCTGCTCCAATTGAGACAGATGCTAGGAGTCAAGAGAAGACCGACCGAAGATTGGGTCTCCCTGCGCTACACAAGAGGGGTTTTAGCACAGAGACAAGACTTGAGATGGAGCAGTGTCATACTCAAGCTTGTCTGGCGCCTTCATGGACACCTGGCCAGACACCAGGACGACGCTACATCGCTGATGCAATGGCGCAACCTCGCCTGGTGGAAGAAGGAGCAGCAGAACCCCAAAGGCCTTCGACACCCCCACAGATATAACGCCATGCTTGAAACAGAAAGGATGCTGGACGCCATAGCGCACCCATGGCACATCACGGCTCAGAACAGAAACAGGTGGGCAACACTTGAGGAGGCCTTTGTCAAGAAATTTGATGTGGCATGGGCCACGGGGAGGCAAACCTCCTTGGAAAACTTAGCCCCCAACTAACCCCCACACCACACAACAGCAGCCTGACATGCAGCACCCACCTCAGACAACCGACGAATGACCTCGAGAGAGTGAGAGTCGGATGCAAGAGGGTAGAAACTGCTTGATTGCGCTACATTGCACCAACCGGACCGCCACACCACAGCCAACGGCCGCCGGCCGCCGCCAGGGATGACCGTACACCACCGCACCGCCACCACCCAAGCCAAGCACCGACAACCACCAAGCTAGAGAGTTGTTTGCCTACCAGGACGGTTGCAGGGTGAAGCAGAAAGCCTGTCTTCCGCACCGTTCAGTCGGCAAGTGCACGAGCCGGGGTGACATAGCAGGATCGAGCGTCCAATCACCACCATGAGTTGCAAAGTACCAACCCCAAGCCCGCAGACACCAGTTACAGCACAATCACCATGTAAGTCCAACAAGCCAAGCAGCCCTAGTGGAGAACAAATCCGGAATAGTAAGCAAACAGCAGCAAGGTGGTAGCTTGACAGCAGCACCCTGTATGCCACAATCAGTGAGCCAGGTGTAAGAGAGAGGAGCGTCGGCCAATCGCTGAGCCCCTCGTTCCTGCGCATGGCTATGGTGATGGCTGTGGTGACATGGCTGGTTCTCGCCATGATCCTCATGACGAGTGTGGCGAGCACGGAACCTGCAATGCGTGAGCCGCTGCAGGACCAAGCCCGTGTGCCGGCAGCCACGACCCCACAGGGCACGGCACACCAGCACAAATTCGAGGAGATCGGAGACAGAAGAAGGGCCAGCATTGCAGCTGGACACTGGACAGGGAATGCCACGACCCACCTGGGCACGGCAGTGGCAGCGACTTCGAGGCCAACTTGGCGGCTGGATCGTGGACAAGGCATGGCACGACCCGCCTGGACACGGCAGGGGGTCAGCGACTCCGAGGACACCTCCGACTTCACTGGCAGGAGGCACGCCACGACCTACCTGGACAAGGCAGCGGACGGAGACTTTGAGGCCGACTGGGCAGCTGGGCTGCGGACAAGGCGTGCCACAACCCACCTGAGCACGGAAATGGACGGTGACGTGGTCGCCATCACCCTGGCGCAACACTCAACCGGGCAGATCGCAGGCGAGGCAAGGCAGACCTCCGCCTTTGAACACCCCAGGACTAGTGCTCACGGAATCCTCCAGGTCATTTGGGGACTCGGGAAGGCGAACCCAGCTGCCAGATAAGGATGGGGAACCGAGCGAGGAGGCCGAGACATCTTGGAATTGATCGATGAGGAGCAGGCCAGGGAACTCCATGACTCAGTGGCTGCGGGGCAAGAGGACCAGGCCATGGCCAGGCTGCTGGCGCCGAGGCTGGAGCAAAGAGCCAGGACAGTCGCCGCCCAGCTTAGCCATCGAGAAGTCGCCTACGCGATCATAGGCCTGCAGCTTGCCCTCATGCAAGCAGCCGACACCTTGACCTTGATCCTGGAAGAAAGATTACACTCAGCGAGGAAGGCACTTGCGAAGAGGAAGGCCGCCCCCACGAGGAGAGTGAGGAGGAGATGAAGAGCCCGAAAAGGCAGAGGGGCGCGACGTGAATGCCCTCATGCAGAGGGCGGATAGGCCGGGCACCACTGCCGATGCTTTCTGGAAGCCGATCGGAGACGAGCGCCTGCAAGAATGCCTCCTGGACATTGTCCCGGAGCAGACGAACCCGGAGCCCTCGTTCACGCTGCTTGCCACACCGAGTGGCTGCAAGAACGAGACCGGGGAAAGGGACACAACACAAGTCGCCATGGGGGAGCTGAGAGCCCCGCTGAGTGCTTGGGATTTCGGGGTTGCCGCACCCCAACCTGCAGGCAATGCAAGAGGGGGCCCAGCAACTTCAACGAGCGCTGGGTGACCAGGCCACCACGCACTGCTAGGACACTGGCGAGACACGTCTGACGTTGGCAGTCGAAGAACTTCTCAAGCTGCTTGCCAGGGGCAAGTGGCGAGCAAGCATGGCTGGAAGCACTCCAACAAGCCCGCAGAGCAAAACCGGCGAAACCGCCACACCCTCGTCAGACCACGTTGCAGCAAGCGTGGGGTTGCCTCCAGCAGGCGCAAGCCGAGGCCGCAGCGCAGGCTGAAACACCAGAGGACACGGCAACCCTGGCCGCCCGCGCCCAATTGCTGGGCCGACGCGGCGCTAGCAGGGGTGCCTGAAGAGTACATGGCCAGCCTTATCAGTGCACTGTATGCCCAACTGAATGGGGAGCAGGCCCCAAGCGAACTCTTCAGGCTCCGGCTAGCCTTAAGGCATGGCTTGCCGAGAAGGGGCCAACTAGAGACAAGGCAGAACATGGCGAACAAGACAACAAACTGCGAGGGGGAGGCGAAGGCGCCGACCCGCGGTTGCAGTGCGGGTAGCGCGGGCGAACAGAGCCGAAAAGCCCCCAAGCTGGCAGAGAAGCAAGCGCAGGAACCCGTCACTGACACAGAGCACCAGGCAGAGGAGACGCAGCTTGAACCAGGAAGCAGTGAGATGGAGACAATCCCTTACCGCCGCCCGGTACAGAAGGAGCCCGAGAAGCACCCTGGGCACGATCGATGTGCAAGCAGGCCCGAATCCGGGCGAGCAACTCAGCAGCCCAGCCAGTTGGGAAGCCCAATATGAGGACATGAGAAATGATGAGCACATGGCTTTGAGAGCTGCCGTGGAGGACGAAGAATACGAGCAAGCGGTGGCCGCGGAAGCTGAGTGGGAGGCGCAGTTTGACAACACCGAGCGGCGGAGCTGGCGAGGTGACGGCGCCCAGGACTGAGTGCCAGCGACGAGAACTCCTGAGCCTCCAAGCAGAGGCGGATTGCTGAGTGGGGATGGGCTGCGGGGCTCCTTCTTGGTTCAGTTTCGGTCCCCGACCAACCAGCTGGGAAGCTCATCCTTGCAAGTCGCTTTAGCACCACAACCGAGGGTTGGTGACAAGCCCGAAGGTGTAAGACGTTTTCACCAGGTGTGGGGTAGCATGGCACCTGTTGGCCGCGGGGCGTTAGGGTGGGGTAGGCTACTTTCCACGTGTGCCTGTACCCTCTGCCTGCACTTCGCTTTCGCACCAGGAGCGAGAGTTTGCATGCCAAACTCGAAGGTGTTTTGTGGAAGGTTCTGGAAGGGAGTTGCACTGTACTTCGCATGGAGCGCTACCTTGCTGCTTGACCACTAGTCCACAGTTGTCGCATTGCCAGCCAAAAGTGACTGCCAAGGGCGATCCCTCGAAAGAACAGCTGAAAAGAGCAGGGCACCGCGGGGGAGTGCCGCCCCAAAACAGTTACGCTTTTGCTTCTGTCATTACCCCAGGATGCTGCCAGCCGCAAGTAAGCTGCCTGCAGCCATGAGTGTGTGTGCATGCGGTAGAGTGTTGAGAGGCCTGTAGCCGAGTCTTCATGGGGACGTCTGATTGCATGCCTGGTCATAGTTTGTTTCTGCATGAGTTGTTGTGAAGCTCACTGGAGATGAGGAAGGCCATGCAAGTCTGCTGAGTCGGCAAATAGCCTGACCGCAAACACAGAGGTCAGGAACCTCGGTTTATTGTAATGTCATGGGTGGGCTTAGGCTGGGCTAGGTCTTTGCTGGTGTGGGGTTCTGCTGACTAGGGGGCCCGGGGCTTAACTTGACTGCCTGTGCTGACACTGTCTCACAACCAGCTTGATGGAAAGGGCTGCACAGCACACAGATGCTGACTGGGTCTTGAACCTAGTTTGGGCTGGGTTCACCATAAAGGCAGCTGCGCAGTCTGAGTATTCGCTGGGCTGACCGCGACGCACCAGAGACCGGGGGCTCGGGGCAGTGCCCCGACCTGCCCATGGGGGCAGGTTTAGCCCATGCAAGCAAGCAAGCAAGCAATTGGTGAGGAATCTGCTAGGAGGGGAGGGCAATGGTAGGGAGCAGTAATTGCAAAGTCTGTGTATTCGCTGGTGCCGACTGGACAGCGTGGACGTGCTGGGCTCAGGGCAGTGCCCTGACNNAGGTAGAGCCCGAAGAAGAAGAAGATTCAAGCGGTGCCTCGAGAGGGGTGCAAGGCCTCTCCAGCGCTTGGAGAAGAAGAAGAGAGATTCAGGTTTGCGTGAGGTTGCTGGGCTGCCCACTGATTGAATTACTCACGACTTGGAGCTTGAATGTGTACAGAATGGAAGCCGTTGCAGTAGGAGATTGCAGAAAGCATGTTTTGCTTGGAAAGCGCTAGAGGCATCTGCGCTTGCTGTGTGCCAGACGACATGCAGGAGTTTGGCACTTCCCCAAGCGCTGGACATTTGGGCTTCGCACCCGCGACAGCAAGGTCCTCACTTGCAGAGCCTGGTCTTGGACGCCTACCTGGAAGGCGGCGGCGGGGAGGGGGGGGGGGGGGGGG